AAAAAAAAAAAAAAAAAGCCTCTGAGGGTCAACGCAACGCTGTGGTGTGCGATGTCACCAGAGGGTCCACATCAACAAGATAATTACCAACTCGAACCCCCCAAAAACAAAGGCCTTTTGTGTCTGTGGACTTTACTCGACTCGGGGTTTCAGCTCGCATAGAATGCTTTAGATGGCATCCTGCTTTCTTGGCCAGAGCACGCAACAAGTAACGATCTTCAGATGCGCATTCAGTAGCGACTTCATTGGTGCATTGTATCGGCCGGACAGAAGCCGGGGTGCTTTTTCGCGCTTTCGACTCTTTCTTGATCCAAGACCTATCGTGGGCCATTGGACATGGGTCTTCGAGTACGATGCAACAATGCAGCCTTCTTGTTTCCTCGAATCTGCACATAGGAATTTCACGCCTCGGACACCAACAGTCGTTGGTCGTACTCGTCCTGTTCCTGACATTGTTGCCACATCTTACTGATATGCAGTTTACGCCCGCATCTCAAGACATCTATCGTGAATGAGATCCAACCGATCAGTGTGCTTCTCATTCAACCCTAGTCTCGGCACATGCCTTTACGAGAAATAGCGCGCTGACAACTTGATTTGGCCGAAATCCATATTCCGTAGATCCTCCCGAAGTGTTTTGACATGCTGCAAACTCCGCCATTCTGCCCCTGTTCGTTTAGGACTAACACGGACTAGCCAACTCGTTTGTCAGTGCTCGAAATAGCACCCTGTTCAGCCTTACGAGCTTCGTCCCCACCATTTCTGACTTGGATCCTTGTCAAAGGTTACATCGAAACCCAGCCAGTTGTTCGCAAAGACGGAGAACAAGCTACGGATAGAGAAGGCTCCAAACAGGGTTTACATAACTGATCTAGGACTCTCTTCGAATCAGAACGATCATCAGGGGGTATAATATAGCGTGGTATTATACTTCCTTGTTCTTGGGCGAGTCGCATCCACCGTTATCCCACGGAACTGCCTTGTTGAGGGGCGGTAAACCGCCTCCAGCCTCGTGTGTTAACGTATTTGCTGACAAGGCCATGACTTATACGCGGCTGACTGGCGATACAGAAGAAAATTTACAATGATTAAACTCGGCACCAACGGGTCGCTCGGCCTTGTACACGACGCTTCTCGCCACTGTTGCGAGTTCATTTTTCGCACTCGTTTCCATTTCAAGAAAGTGTGCATGCATTGACTTCACTTCCGAGTCATCCATATAGCCTCCGCTGCCAGCCATGGTCTTTGCGACGTTGGATGACTTCTCCACCAGGGTTGTTGGTACTAATACAAAGCGGCTGGTTTATCTTAACGCCCGATCTCAACGGGGATCTAACCGCCCCCTGGCAGAGCGACAAAAGTCCTCTTGTCAACCTCCTCAATGTTTCACGCCCGATCTCCATGCTTACCCCGACCATTCCTTATGCCCTATGGTGAGATGGAAAGTTTCTTGGCGAAATCATGGCTTACAAGACGAAAACCCGTTACTCACATGATTGAAGCTCATGCGGTCAGCTACAGTAGCCAGATCCTTTGAAAAGGAATTTGAGTTGATCTTAGATCCTTGTTCCTTGCTGTCAACAGTTCTGACAGGAGAATTCAACCGGGAAGCTAGCGAACAACATAAATCCTACAGCTGACAAGCGAACTAGGGATGCCGGAGCGCGGCCGACTTAATGCATGGCCCACCGTTACATGTGAGGAGATGTCACGACTTTCAAGTCCAGCAAGTCCCTGGCTTACAGCAATCCTTGAGGCTCTGGGATGGCTGCAGCCTGGATGGACCCAATGGACACTGTATCCGACTTTCGACCATGTATCGACTCTGTATTTTTCTCGTTCCGCAATAAACGCTCGTTTCACTGGCATGAGACGTCATGGCCATCGAATATAGATACTGCAATCGACAATAATGTCACTCGCAGATGAATCTCTGACCTCTCCACCCACTAAGCTTAAAGCTTGGATTCAATATTGTCTGCGGGCGGTTCTACTTCGACCTATTTCCAAATTATTGCTACAAGCTCAACACTGATTCGAGGAAGTTTTCTCCGGCTGTCCAAGTTTTCGGCCGACTAGGAACATATGGCTTGCACATGACCAAGCCTCATTGAGCAGTGACACAGACGAATTGCCGCAACTAGGCATTAGTTTCAGCCGCAATATCGTTATGGCTGGTGGAGTTCTGTCAAGTTCAGTAAGGCACATCTGCGTGCGGCTGGCTGACATGGCGTCGTTTGGGAAAAAGCTTGAAAGGTCTGTCTCATACTCTGCCTCAGTCCCGACAACATGGGTTGTTCTCTTTATCGTAGAAACTTGGCGTTTGAGCTAGTCTCGGCAGTGCTCGTAATAGTGACATACTTAGAGCCTCGACCAGAGTTGACCTGGTCCTTGGTGTCCCCGTTTCACTGACCGACAATCCGGGGAAGACACTAGTTTTGAGCCCAAGAGTGAGTATATTTCATAGGTACCTTGTTTGCGTTTAATCTATTGCATACACCCAGCGCCCTTCCAACGTAGAAACATAATCTAGCCAAATCACCTCCCTAGCATACAACATCGATAAAGCTCGTAACTTAACACGCCCTCCGTCAGAATTGGATATAACTATATCTTCGTCAAAAACAAAAAAGAAAGAAATAATGGCGGTCGACCACCAATGATCTAGATTATATGCCAACCGATAGTTCCATTGGCTCGGGCTCCATAGCGCCAACCATCCCGTTCTCATCCCGCTCTTCCTCCATCATCTCAATGAGGCTGTCAAGATTCGTGTCTAGGCTTTCAGCCTCCTTTGAGTCAAGGCACCTGTTAAGTAGCTTCTTGTACTTTTCAATCTTATCCCCCGTGCCCACCATGCTCAACGCCTCGACGTATTCCGCCTCGGCCTTACGCTGCTCCGCGAGTAACGAGTTGAGCTCACGCGCGAGGCGCAGTCTCATGTCATATGACTCTTCCTGCCCACCTCCTTCGCCATTGATACGGCTTAGTTCGCTGTCCACTGCCCGCTGAACGTGTAAGCGGTTCTGGTGTGTGATGAGCGACAGCACCTGGTGTTTGGCCAGGTTAGCTTCGGTTGAGTTCTTGGATGCAGCTTCTTCTGATTCGAGCTGACCCTCAACGTCTGTGATGCCTTGCCGGACAGAAGTAAGCTCCTGCTGGGTGTTTGACAGTAATCGCTTTGCCTCGGACTCTGCTATATCCTTCTCACGGAATTCGTCCTCGTAGCTCTTGGCTAGGTCTTGAAATTTTTCCATGATCAGGGGTGAAATCCGTGATTGCACTGTGTTTGCTGCCGCTGACTGGAAGACCACTGGGGATTGTCTGTTCGCCTTCTCGATAAGCGCATCCTTAAATGACGCATGTCTTTGAGACTCAGGGGCAAACGGCGACGATGATCTTTGTGGTCCACGGTCCTTCTTAGTAGCGTTAAGATCCATGATCAAATCCTCTGCCCTTATGCCCTCGTTATTGGCAATATCGGATGAAGCATTACGTCCTAGCAGTGCCCGGATACATTTCCTGGCGTTCCGTTGCGCCGCCAGATGCAGTGCTGTGTTCCCTTCATTATCCTGGATATCCAGTAATTGCTGGAAAGCGCTAGGTTCCAGGGTTTCTTGTAACTTATTCAGGATGTTATCCAGGTAGTACCTTGAGCACGATGAGTTAAAAACTCTGCCATTCTTCATCACAGCTGCGTGGTGGATCACTGTGCAACCCATGTTGTCACGAGCGTCGAATGTTTCGAACAACTCCTTCATTACCATAGGAAAGCTTTGCTTCTCGTAACAATTTGTGAAGTTAACGGAATGCATAAACGGTGTTTCGCCTCTTATGTTCTTAACTGTAGAGGATGCATTGAACCGCTTCAACTGCTTGACGACGTCCAAATCTCCCATTGCTGATGCCCAGTGAAGTGCTGTATGATCTTCCGCATCGATTGGCCAGTTGGGTTGAAAGTTTGTCGGAGGATCGGGCTTGACTGCTGGTTGGTCTGTCTTACTCAGAAGGAAGTAGTCGAGAAGCTCGTCGCCGTACAAAGCATGTTGTTGTTCGGTAAGATCTTGAAGGTTGCTTTCATCCCTTCTTCGCTTGCGGCCCGTTCCTGGCGCTTGAGGCACTTCAAATCGTTCGTCTTCGGCCATGTACGATGCCGATGCAATTGTGAGGTTATCTGGGGTATCTTCATCACCCATCAGGGTATCGCCATCTTCCTGAATAACGGGCGCCGGAGCAGGAGGGGGAGGAGGAGGGTCTAAAATTGATCAGCTTGAGCCCCTTACTTGACTATGAGTTCGACGTACTGTTCCATTTCGGTAATGGGGGACGAGATTTTGGCCCTTTAGGCTTGCTGGCATGTCTAGGAGCAGGAGGAGGGCTCTCTGCGCCTTGAGTGTATTCGAAGATGGGTCGCAATCGGTCGATAACGCTGTGTCGCTCTGCTAATGCTTGTCCGCTTTCGAGAGGAATCCAAGTACCTGCACAGCTGTTAGGAGAGCAATTGCATAGCTAGAGAGGTCACAAACCCTGGTATTTTCCGTAGCCACCTTGAATCTTCTCATGTACGTCCTTTTGCACATCTCTCTCGAGGATTCTGGTTCGAGCTGGTTTGTCAAAACCAGCAGCCTTCAGAATATGTGTTGCATTAATCCAGTTGTCAGATCTCCTTCGCATGACATGCTCCTTAAGTTCAGCTCCGAATTGAAATTCGTACACAGGTATCTAGATCAACGCATGTTAGCACTGGTATCAACAAGCTGTTATTAGAGGTTGACTGGAAGTTCTCATGACACCATTCGATGTCATGACTTTCGTCTCGCCTATCCTGCAAGAGGATCTGCCAATCAATCCATCGGATTGAGTTTTGAACATGCATGAGAAAACATACTCCACTGTATACTGCGCTGTAAACGCCAGGTCCTGTAGCAGCTGGTGCTGCATTAGCATTGGCCTTGACCATCTCGGCGGCTAAGATGAAGCAATTCTGGAACCATGCGCGATGCAATAAAGATTAATGATGAATGGTGGAGAAATGGCAGGTCAATGAAAAGCTCGCAAATTCAAAAGATCGTATCAGTGACACCAAATTGGCCTTCGCAGCTTGATCTTGGTGATATCGCTGAAAGCTCTTCTGAGGTTAGAGTTGCCTGGGTAATTTCACGTCTTTGACGCGATCTAAGGTTGAGGAGACGCGACGTTACGCGAATCACTTAAAGTGTGTTTGCCTCAGGCGTGAAGGGGTCCTCGACCTCACGTGACAGAGCTGCCACGGGGCGCCTCCTGAAGTTGGTGGTGGTAGATTGGATTGGCGGGCGCGGCTTTGTTAGGTTGGTTAGCAGGGGTACAACAAACAAAGACCTTCCTTTGACGATACCGACTACCTCTCCCCCTCTCGACTCTTCCGGTTCTCTCGACTCTCTCGACTTCTTTATAGATACGACGAGCTACATACGTATCGAGAGATTCCTGGCCTGCCGTTTAAATCGCCAAAAGTTGGGACAGTAATTAGCTTCGAGCTCTAAAGTACCGCCTTTGAGGAGCTTCAAGCTGGGACCCATATGACAGGAACAAAGAACTTGGGACGGTATACAGCAGCGACACGAACGATATCTGGGAGACGAATCTAAAACCGACACAAACATGGCCGATAATCTTCACAATGCGCCTATAGTCCTCGATAATGGATCTGGCACTATTCGAGCTGGTTTCGCAGGCGAGGATCTACCAAAGTGCTTCTTCCCATCTTGGGTTGGTCGACCAAAACATTTGAGAGTTCTCGCGGGTGCCCTTGAGGGTGAGGTGTTTATTGGACAAAAGGCGGCTTCAGAGTTGCGCGGATTGCTCAAGATTCGGTATCCTCTCGAGCATGGTATTGTCACCGACTGGGACGACATGGAGAGGATTTGGGAGTATGTTTACGGAGAGGGTTTGAAGACTCTCAGTGAAGAGGTTTGTTGCGAGAATATGCCATCTCATGGGCTGTGTTGACATCCTTTTTAGCATCCGGTTCTATTGACAGAACCTCCGCTGAACCCACGAAGTAATCGCGACACGGCCGCCCAGATTCTCTTTGAGACTTTCAACGTCCCCGCACTGCACACATCAATTCAAGCCGTGCTATCACTATACGCCAGCGGCCGAACGACCGGTATTGTTCTCGACTCTGGTGATGGTGTTTCCCATGCGGTGCCAGTCTACGAGGGTTTCGCCATGCCCAGCAGTATTCGCCGAATCGACGTTGCAGGCCGAGACGTGACGGAGTACCTACAGACGCTGCTACGGAAGAGCGGATATGTTTTCCACACGAGTGCTGAGAAGGAGGTGGTAAGATTAATCAAGGAGAGCGTTTCATACGTTGCTCATGACCCGAGAAAAGAGGAGAGGGATTGGGTTGGTGTGAAGCCCAACGAGAGCAAGTTTGCCGAATACGTGCTCCCAGACGGTTATAAGCTCAAGGTGAGACTCCATGAAGTCAATTCAGTATGCGACACAACTAACATATTAAAGATTGGCGCGGAACGTTTCCGAGCACCTGAGATTCTCTTTGACCCTGAAATCATTGGTCTCGAATACCCTGGTGTACACCAGATTGTCGTTGATGCGATCAACCGAACAGATCTCGACCTACGAAAGTCCCTCTACAGCAACATTGTGCTCTCTGGAGGTAGCACATTGACAAAGGGCTTCGGTGACCGTCTCTTGACAGAATTACAAAAGCTGGCTGTCAAGGATATGCGCATTAAGATCTTTGCGCCCCCAGAGAGAAAGTACTCTACCTGGATTGGAGGCAGTATTCTGGCTGGATTGAGTACTTTCCGAAAGGTCAGTGAAGCAGTTGTGATTCTCTTTGTCCGCATACTAACTTGGAGCAGATGTGGGTTAGTGTTGATGATTGGCATGAGAACCCCGATGTCATCCATACCAAGTTCACATAAACTTGCTATTCGCATCTCTACGATATACTCCAAACGATGAACCCGACTAGGTCATGTATAGCCCGTTGACCTTGAGTTTCTCGTCTGGACTTTTATGATCGAGATGACCTTTGTGATGTCGATTATACCCACAACCCCTCACAACCAAACCCACTTTGTCCCGCAGCTGTTGATGGAGCGATGTATGAGCCTTTGCATGGAATGGAAGATTTTAGTACTGTGCAGGCGTATAGTGACACTGGTGTAGACAACCTTTGCTAGATAGAGGAAGCCTAATGATACCCTGATGCGTTGAAGCTGTGTCTTGCTGTTGCTCGTGAAGCTATGAAGCTTTTTGAAGACTAACCAGAATACCATACACATCACAAGTAGATCAAGATGGTGAATTAATAAGAAGTAATGCTTTTATAAAATAGAAGAGCTGCGCTCGGGGGTATAATAATCTTCACCAGAAACAAACATCATACAGGCAAAGACATGAGGAGAGGCAGTTCATATCGCCAATCTCACTCATCAATCCAATGCCAACCGTACATATCCAAGGCTCTTCGCCATTCCCATTTGCTCTGAGGTCCCCGCCTTTCCTTTTTCTTTGTTCCATACCCAATAAACGCCAATCGCTAGTTTCAAGATTCATACACAAGATTCCACATCTCAGTCCCTGCTGAAAGTGCTGCTCACACGAGCCCACAGCTTGGTCTTGGAGCTCAAAGAGCTAGAATCGGATCCAGAATCGCTCTCCTTGCGATGAAACACATTTCCTGCACCGCCGATACCGACGTGGCCAGCGGCCATTTGGTCGCGTGCGGCAATGCGGTCGTACTCATCGTCGAGAGATACAGAGGGCTGTTCGCTGGCACGGTGGACGTTGCCTGCTCCGCCGATGCCGCTGAAGAAGCGGCGTGAGGGAGCGGGAGCAGTGATGGTTGTGCTGGGGGTGACGACTGTGCGGGTTGTTGATGAGGATGTTTGTTTGGAGCGGGAGATGTTTCCGTAGCCGCCTCGACCGGAACGTACGAAGACGTTTGTTGAGGGGGAGGGTTCAGTGAGGATGTAGTTTGGCATTTTGGTGGTGATGGTGGTGTAAGTGAGATGTAAGCTGAGTAGAGTAGAGTTGCAGTTTATTGTTTCTTATAATTGAGTAATAAAAGTATTCGATTGGTCAACTTCCAGTTATAGAGACTCGAGAGTAAAGCTTGGAAAAATAAGAATAGACAAAGAGAGGTTGTCGTGATGGGCATAGGTGGTAGTTATACCAACTCCTCTTCCTAGTACAGACCATACCATCCCATACCACCCCCAAGTAAAAGCCAAGCAAAGCAACAACAAAGTCTTGTACTCACCCCACAAAATAGACCCATTCGATCAATTTTTTTCATCCTAATTTCATTCTATTTTGCTTCCCCCCGCATTTCAGATCGAATTATTCGTCGTCATGTTCCTCAATAGACGCCGAGACTGAACCACAACAAGCCGACAAAAGTCCACGCTTTGCAGTTAATAGGCGACGCTTTGCAGTTAACGGCAACGCGGCGCTGCCCGTGTGATGCTTTAAAATTTGTAGCTACAGCTTCCATTGCCTTTTACTCCTCATGCCGAGACAAATGGCGCTTGTCACGCGGTCACCCCCAGATTTGGTTCCTGGATGCTCTAGAGTTTTTAGTATGTAAAAATTACCCCATGGAAACCGCTCTCTCAGACGGGATTGGTCAATGCAGGGGTACAGCCTGCATTAGGACGACGACGTGCGTTTTTGTCAGGACAAGGCAATGCAATGGATACCTTGTGATGCTGTCGTCATGAGGTGACTGTTTGTTGAACACGTTGTGAGTTTTGCAAGGAATCAAAATGAGAGTGAAACATTGAAACGTCGGTCAGGACTCTCGGGCTGTTGATCACGACTCACGTGGCTGGGCTGTACAGAGAAGACAGGGCGGACTATGAGCCTCATAAACAAAGTTCTGACCTCAGAAAGGAAGCCTCATGGAGGAAGATCTCAGCAAGAGGCTAGCAACGGCCACTCCCGCCTTCACACACACTTGAAGTCAGTGAGATCTCGAATCAATGATGGGCATTTGCATTTCCGAGACCTATTTCCCATCCTTTACAAGATCAAAACGCCAAGCTCATATCGTCTTTTGAAGGTGTGAGGCGAAGAGTCTATGCTAGTACCAGGATCAAAGCTTGTGCCTGTCCCTTCCCCGGATCTTACCCCAGGGGAGATCCTCCACGGAGAGTCATTCCATGGACCAAGGGTCTTTGTACGCGAGAGGCTCTGCACTTGTCGGTGAAGAAGATTCGATGCAGACATCCTCCGTAGCTGCCGAAGTCACCTTGATGCATTGTGGCATATATTTGATACAGACGCATTGACAAATCACATGAACATACTGACATGCAACTGGTGGAGAGTCTATGAGCTCCTTGGCATGAGTTCATAGCGGGTGTGTCGGATAAACATACAACATTCTGCTTGATGAAACAGTGCTGCTCGGAATAAGTTGATGAGTGGTGCAGCAGAGCCTCATTCACATGCATCCAACCACCAGACGAACCCCATCAACCCGCTTTGTAATAGCAAACTGGCATTCAATTACCAGTTTCCACATTCTTTACGTTTCGATTCTTCCTTCTTATCCACTGGTTCCTTATAGAAGAAGCAGCTATCCCATAACGCATTGTCTGAGTCCCACAACCCCATCACCAATCATACCAACTCTGACCATTGGTGTTTGGAGTTAGAACTTTGATCTCAACGTTCCATACCGGTCCTGTTTCATCGCAAATCGCTTGACATCTTAATGACAAATTCTATGCGTAAAACGAGTGGCGATATGTGAACACGGCGGTTAAGACGATCATGTTTGTTGTAGATGGCTATACCAATAAATCAAGCTGAGTAGAGCTTTTGCTCGACTATCAAATTGAGAAGTATCACTCGGACAATGACGATTGAACAATAAAGTTATAATTTAAAAAGAAATAGATAGCGCAGCCTCCTGGCCGTTTATGTCAAGTATACTCCATCCAACGCCCAGAAATGTCATTCCTTCAAATCCCCAGGCTGCAAAGAAGCACAAATGTGCATACCGCACGAGGTCGTCCGGCATCATTAAATTATCCAGCAAAATTCCCTTTTTTCTTCTTCTTTTATTTGCCCAGACTCATCCAGCCAAACATGCCGCAGGCAATGGACAAGACCAGGAAGGTAATAATGCCAGCACCGGCCTTGTCGGCGGTGCTGAGAGGAGGGAAGTTTCGGTCGATCTTGCCGTCTCCGACGCTGCCGGCGTTGGGGTTACCCTTGGAGGTACCTCCCTTCTTTGCTGTGACGGGAGCAGGGGTGTTCTCCATGAGCAGAGATGACACGGCTGCGAGAACGTTCATCGTCTGGCCGGCACCGGTCTTGCCGTCGAATTTGCCGCTAGCCCACTTGAAGCCACAGGTACGGCCATCCTCGCCACCAGTGCATTGGTTGATGGCAGCTTGAGCTGACTTCTCGAGAACAGGGAGAATCTTGGGTCGGATGAAAGGAGCAAGATGAGTCGCCTGTGACATCCAGCGGTGCACGTAACCCTTGAAGGAGTACATATCGGTGGTGCAAGTACCAGCGTTCTCGCAAGCGATTTCGACAGCAATGTCCTTAGGAAAGAAGTTCGAGATGGTCGCATCAACGAGCTTGTCCAGACGCTTTTCCCACTTCTCCGAGCCCTCAGTCTGAGGATGTCAGTCGGTCTCTCGTAAATTTGTGTTTGATTGGTAACTTACGTAGTTGTACATGAAGGCAGCTCCCTGAAGGAAAACACCAGAGTTGTAAGAGAACTGGGCCTTGTTGATATCGGTACAGTTCTTTCCTACATGACCGCCATCATAAACCTTATATGTGGTGGGGTCGAGGAAACCAACGCCCTCCATCCAGTCCCAGGTCTTCTCAGCCCAGTCGGAGTAGGTCGTGTTACCGGTGTATCGAGCAAGTCGAGCACCCAGGTTGAAGAAACAACCGTTAGCGATACCTTTTTATGAGTTAGTATGAGAGTTCACTGAGTAATAGTTGAAAGAGGGGCGCTGACTGTTCTTGTAATCGTAACCGTTGTTTGTTCGAGGAATCTGCCATCGGAGACCACCACCGCAAGTATCGTCGTGTCGGTCAGGGTTGGCCTGAGTGTTGAAAACAGCTTGGGCGAGCGCAAGCCAACCAGGCTGGTCTGAGGGAGGGTTGGGGAATGCCAGCTCAGCAGCTAACATGGCAGACATGCCCCAGAAACCTTGATCGTCATTTCCGAGAGATAGAGTAACGTTGCTGGGCTGGTAATCTTGGTCGTCTCCAACTTGGAATTGCATGCCCTGCATGACGAGGTCGTTGTATTTCGTATCGCCAGTGCACTTCCAGTAATCCATATACGTCCCCCACATCGCACCACCTTCCCACCAGTAGTAGTCACCGGCGGGAGGAGGACCAGGCAGGATACCTGGAATACCACCAGGGTCGTTTCCATGGTAGTATGTAATCAGATCAGCGGCGAGTTGCTTGGCTGATTTCTTAATGGCGTCTGCGTTGATAAAGTTAATGACTGTTTACCTTTGACAGACGGTTGGAGATTCGCACCTGTGCTTGAGATACTGTAAGGTGACTGCTGGGCGTTGACGAAACCCGTTGACGCCAAGAGCGCAATGGCGCCGGCGGAAGTAAATGACTTCATTGTGAATTAAATCTGAGCGAAAGAACAGCGAGCGACAACGAGGCCGACGTTGTAAAGTAAAGCGAGCGTTAGACGCGCCCAGGAAGGGCTTGAGGGAAATGTCGAATAAATGCGATAGTTATTAACGACTGAATGAACAGTCAAAGCGAGAGTGGATAGTAAAATATCACGTAAGAAAAAGAAGACAAAAGACGTAGAGTCTTGCGATGCGATGATGTGGGAGGGATGATGTTGAAGAAGGTCGAAAGTGCCAAGGAAAAGAAATGGAAACGGGTGACGGGGGGGATGTGGGAATACCGCCAGGAACAGAATACGATCTGCCGCAATTAAAGGGAGCAGAGAAGGCAGGAGGGAGGGAGAAACACCCAATCAAAGTGGCAGTGGATCAGCAAAGAGCGAGGAAAAAAAGAAGGAGGGTGACACGGTCTATTGACTGGCTAAAACGGAGTAACCGTCACAGGTGAACTGAATTTGTAGCTATTTTTGCCTGAAGCGACGGCGGGGACATTACGCGCATTGCAGTCCAGTCCAAGTCTGCAGGGCAGTTTACGATACGAAATGGATGGTCTAGACTAGCGCAGTCCAGTTCCATGGGTTCAGGGGTCACTGCGCAATTGATGAACTGACAAGTCGTGAATCCTGCATGAATCCTTTGATGAGTGGTATTTCATTTATATACGAGTGTCCTGCTCAGTGATGATCTCTAGATAAACATTCAACTCAACCGTTGAACTTGACAGATGCTTTGCGCCGTTGTCAAGAATGGAATGGTCCCCTCCATCATCTAACGTACGATGGCACGTCCATTCTTGCCGCAGTGGAGGAGCCGAAAGCCCGCTCGTTCCAGGTTGATCGCTCCCACAATCCAGTTTTCTGCCCACATTGTTCACCAGCCTCGTCAACGACTCTCTTCATGTCATGATGATCTCTACTCTGCAATCTTGATCGCCTCAAAGGCCGCGTCTGGTGTTGCGCAACCCTCAAAGTCAATTGCATGTCGTTCGACTGCCATGTTGAATGCCAAGGCGCTTATCGGCACCTTGAACCGATTCGCGACCCAGGGTCTGGTATGCCAAGTGCCCAGGACTTGTCCCGTCTGTAGCGTTCGCGTGGTTTCCCGTCTCGGCGCCGAGAGTAAACACCACGTGATTCTTGTAAACAACAAGATTTGACGATTGCTTCATCGTGAATATCAACAAAATGGACGTATTAAACAACTGGCATCCCAGTAAGCAACGCTCGACCCATGAACTACCCCATCTTCTCCATTTACTTTATCTTGATGTGATCAAATTGGTGGGGTATTGGACCGAACCAACTACTCTCATGAAAATCCCCCAGAATTTTGGATGACGGACCCAGTATTCATTCAACTTCGCAAAGCGTAGCGATCGACTTTTGACAATTGTATTCGGACCGAGTTGGAATGCTGACTGGACTGGAGTCAAGAGTCCAAAACTCCACAGAATATATGGTTTCTTGAGAGATATGATAAATGACATAGCATACAAATGACTGCGAAGTCAGGGCCCCTATCAGCTAGGCCATTAAGTAGCGACTATATTCCCACTCGGCCTTCTTCTCCAATAGCAGTTCGAATGCAACCCAGTAACTATCTGTAAGGATAAGATGACTTGATCAGTACATGAAAATGCAAGGACCACCTGGGCTGCCGGACTCTGTACAGATCTACGGTGGACAGTTTCTAGCCAAAGGAGCAGTCCCCATCGATAAGGTGTCTTCCAAGGTCCCAGGCCGGATGTAGTGCTTGTAAGTTTATGAGCTGGCTGACAAAGGACGATTAATTGAAGTAGCGGAAGGGATCCATAGGACCTTTACTTCTGGGTAGCTGTCTGCCCATGACTCCCATAACACAACCTCGTTTCTAATACAGGCCAGCATGTGATATTGTCTACGGGTGAGAGAGAGGCTGTTGGCGTATTCGATGACGCTTATAATGATACAAATGTAGCTCGTGGAAGTCTTGAACGCCCTGGCTGACCCTCGAGAGCTTTCCGTTGCCGTTGTCGAGCCTGCTCGGAAGTTTCTTGATTTCACTCTAGCCAGAACCTCCATAATTCCGAGAAGTCAAGAATAATGATATGACCAAGATGCTGCGCTCTATTTCATCCTTGAACGCGAAACGTGTATGTAGAGCATTGTTGCTAAGAGTAGGGTGTCTGGGGATATATCAGGGAAACATTGTCGGCTTTGTTTGTAAGGTCCCAAAGGCTCATAATTATGAACCAGTCGAAGCAATGAGACTTGCTATTTTGGCTTCGTTATCACCAGTCTCCTTGTAAATAACCTTCACAATGAGATTAACCGGTCTTTCAGCAAGCCATTTCCGCTACTCAGGTAGACGCTGACTTTACTAATCATAAAATCGGGACAAATTGAACAGCCACGAGGAAGACCGGTTGAGATAATTCACCAGCCAACCATTCCCAACGGTTATCGTCTACAGGCGAGACTGCTGGCATCCAATGCGTGTAATTCGTGAGGAGTGGAACCGTTCATGCCGTTGAAGAAGTAAATCCGCGCTAGACCCGATGATAGCTCAGGAACAAACTCGGGTCGGCAACACTTTAACCCATCACGTCGTCTCAGCCAATCAAAAGCTGGACCCTGACAACGCCAGCGTCAGGGGACGGTTTTAGTTACAGTAAGCTGTCCTTTCTGATTGCGGCTGCTGAGCGCAACGAAGCGACCAACATTTACAAATTCCCACTTTCGTTCCTTCACCAAGACTTTTGTGGTCGACGAATTTGCTTCGAGACCATTGAAACCAATTCCAATCGGTTTCCATTCTCTTCTTTTCGAAAAAGGCATGCGGCAATAAGAATCGTCCTTTTGCGCATTTGGTGTCGATCTCGACTTTTAGTTTGCGACTTTCGCGATCTTTCGACAGCGGCCTCACGATATCGAATCGGTTTTCAGTGTATATATTCGAGCTAGCGGGACTAGAATTACTTTGCAACAATGATGAACGGCATGGAAAAGTCGGACTTTGATGAGGACAAGTTTGGTCCTAAGGAGGGTGGAAACTTGGTAGCTGCTTTTGATGCGTTCCGTATGTATCTTGTTGCTGCTGGCGTATGCGCGCGCTAACTCTTGACAGCCAAGTCAAAACCGCAATACATCCAACGAACATCCGGAGGTGGAAAATGGACTGTCGCCGTGTCCATCATCTCACTCATCCTTATCTGGGGTGAGCTTGGCCGCTGGTGGCGCGGTGCCGAATCTCACAACTTCGAAGTTGAGGCTGGTGTCTCGCGGCAAATGCAGATTAACTTGGATGTTGTGGTTAAGATGAACTGCGATGATCTCCATGTTAACGTCCAGGATGCTTCTGGTGATCGAATCATGGCGGCCAAGAAGCTGCGTTTCGATAAGACTCTTTGGGGACAGTGGGCCGACAACAAGGGCGTTCACAAGCTTGGCCGGGACGCTCAAGGTCGAGTCGTTACTGGTGATGGATATAACGAGCCCAAGTATGATTATGAGGAAGAAGGTTTCGGCGAGGAGCACGTTCACGATATTGTTGCGCTTGGAAAGAAGAGGGCTAAGTGGGCGAAGACACCCCGATTCAGGGGCAACGCCGATAGTTGCCGTATCTACGGAAGTTTGGACTTGAACAAGGTGCAGGGTGATTTCCACATCACAGCTCGAGGTCACGGTTACATGGGTCATGGCGAGCATCTCGACCACAGCAGTAAGTTCAATTGGTGAGGAGTCGATATCGCATGCTGACCAGCCACAGAGTTCAACTTTTCGCACATCGTCTCAGAGCTTTCTTACGGTCCCTTCTACCCTTCGCTCGTCAACCCTCTCGATGGTACAGTCAACACAGCCGAAACCAACTTCCACAAGTTCCAGTACTACCTTTCTGTCGTCCCCACCGTCTACAGCGTCAACTCCAAGTCTATCCTTACCAACCAGTACGCCGTGACCGAGCAGAGCAAGGCCGTGGACGAGCGATGGATTCCCGGAATTTTCGTCAAGTACGACATCGAGCCCATTCTGCTGACAGTTCACGAGAGCCGCGACGGCATTATCAGCCTGTTGGTCAAGATCATCAATATCATCAGCGGTGTTCTCGTCGCTGGACACTGGGGCTTCACGATCAGCGACTGGATCCACGAGGTCATTGGTCGCCGACGACGCAGCAACGGTGGAACTGGTTTCCTGGGAACCAAGGAGGGTTATGATCAGTGAGGTTTCGGCGGGAATACAACGCGTGTAGCATAGGTACTGCTAGAAAGTAGAGCAGCAGGAGTTATGTCTCGGGATCTCGATCAGTGTCGATTTAGTGGAGTTCAGGTTAAAACTTGGGTATCTGTTTTTAGCATCAAACAATTGAAAACCAATATTGGTGCAACATCTGACTGACATGTGCTTCAATGCTGTTGAGTCACTGGTTCTTGCAATATTTCCTACCCTGGACTCATGCTGTACTTACCTGACCACGCCCCAACAAAACGAGATCGTGCAACTACAGGTTTTTATCCTAGGCTGATTACTCTTAAAACAAAACGCCTCGTCAATGAACAAAGAACACATTTTCTTTCTTTGAGGCGACGTACTTCGCCCAACTTCATAGTAGAGTCGCTTAAGAGCGGTGCCAGACCAACATGGGAAAAGCCACGAATATGGAACATTCCAGTCATGAGAACAGATGGCACTATGGAAAAGCCCATCAGCCGGGGACGTCTTCCAGAACGGGGGCGGTATAAGGCTGCGGACGGAGCTTCTCGGCAGCAATCAGCATCTGATGATCCACATGGACAAAGAAGATCTTGTGACTCAGGCCCGAGTCAATTGACCTTGGACAATGACTGTTGATATGAGTAATTCTTGACTTTCCTTGAGTTTCTTTTACGGCTGAATGAGATGAGGCGAGTGACTCTGACTCCGCTGAGAAAATAAGAATCAAGATTGACAGATGTTCGTTGTTAATCGACGCAAGGGTTCAAGTGGGGTTTTCCATTTTCCATTAAAAGAGCAAGCCTATGACGACACTTTTGAGTAGTTGAGTGGGGTTGGATCGAGGTTGATGCTTGTAAATACCGACAAGCAGTCACAGTCAACGAAGATCCACGGTTCGGCACGACCAAGGGAAAGCTTCATCGCATCATATTTGTTCTTTTCTTTCTTCTTTGAGTTTGTTCTAGTCACGACCAAAAAATAAATGTCCCTGTCGATGAAGAACCGGGTCGTAGAACAAGGTTGTGTGGTGGTTGACTCTTTTTAGGTCCCGAGATGGAGGGAGGGGAAAGGAAGGACTAGGCAGGCCCGTGTGATTTGGTCTTTGTCTTTTGACTTTCAAGTTTGGGTTTGCTGAGACACTTTCAGGCCTCGAGATGCGGTCTGGAGTTGTGGTTTCTTTATTTGACTCGAGGCGGGCGTTTACATGAACGGTTATGGTGTTACGTGCCGTTTGGAAGGACAAAGAGAGTGGACCTGGACCGGTTTGTGGTTGTTCGGCAATTAAATACTGGTTTTGTCAATGCGTTATTGTGAGGCTCTGTGCCCAACCTGACAGTGATACCCATGATTAGACTCGATTCCTGTCCATGGTTTGTGGATCAACTGTATTGGGCTTTGAATGATCCTGGATGCAGAGCATGGACTGGATATTCCAAGAAATAAACGATGTAGCCTGAAGCAGAAATCGATTCTTGTCCCGAGATGCAATGCAGAATGTTCATTCCAGGTTGCAGCGGGATCCAAATGGTTCATCCCAAAAACTGCGGCTTGATTGGGTCTGGTACTCAAACGCCCAGCATCAGCCGGGCAGAACAAGAGACCTTCTGCCACCCATCTCGACCATCTATCCAATCCCGTGCCATGCTCTACTGCACCAGCAGCATCATCTTCCATCATAGCCACAGCAGGCTTTCTCCTAGGCCATCTCGTACCCCTGCCCTGCTGCAACTGAAGTTTAAGGGCTCCACGCACACTGCACGCTGCACTCTGGCTGGGCATCCATTGATTCACTGGGCTAAGCACCCGCAGCACTGACTGGGACCAGCCATTGCATTCGGTTCTGGCCTGGCATCCTTGCCCAGCCTGCCAATACCACTGACCCAACGCCAGTACCAGCATTAGCACCAGCACAAGCCCGGTTCTGCCAGTTCCTTCCTGCTCGATTCTCTTCCGTCATAGCTCATCTTGTTTTCCCAGCTTTCTCTCCCCTCTAAACCAAACCACACCACAGTCACTTTCTCATTCCTCCCTCTTACATACAAACCTCCCATAGATTTCGCTGTTGGTTTCTTGTTGGGCGTTTTCTACCGATCCTCTGGATTTACTCTTTCGAACCGATTTCCTTCATTTAACATCACAGCAAGCTAGCACAGCCTTATACAACCCCTGCAACACCCCGCGATGGGTGACGTCTACAGAGATTCTCGCTATCGCGAATGGGAGCGGGATGACCGTGGCTCCTCAGACGATGAGCGCTATCGCAAAACTACAATCCGAAGATACAAAGTCACACCTAGCAATTACGGAGGATCTTCCGAGTACGACGATGGACGATCCCACGCTTCCCGCTATGGCCGCGGTCCCAACGACTTTGGAGAACAGGACCGACGTTCTCAGGCCCCAGGCCGCCCTCACTCTGCATTTGGAGGCGCTCCTTCGCAAGCTAGCTTTCACGAGGACCGTGGCCGAGACACAGCTCCTCGATCCTTCATTTACGAGAAGGAATACGAGCGAGATACTTACGGAGGGCAACCAGCTCCCCCACCTATGCCGATGCCTGCGCCTTCCCAAGTAGGCGGAAATCGCGCGCCAGTTTACGCAGAGACCAAAGAGGTTGAGCGTGATTGGGAACGACGATCTCGTTTTGATGCTTTGTTCGATGATGATGTCAAGGTTGAGAACCAAATGGTCAAGACCGAGCGCCGAGACAACGGCGATTACCGCGTCGAAAGGCGAGTCGAGGAGCACATTGACGACACTCACGGCTGCGATGTTGAGCGAATCCGCAAGGAAACAGAGTACTACACACCTTACGATCCTCCGCCTGCACCAGCTCCCGTCATTATTCGACAGCGCGCGCCTGAACCACAGAAAATCATTGTTCAAGAAGCGCCTGCTCCACAGCCTCTTATTATTTCTCCTCGCGCGCAACAGCAGCCCGGTGTGGTTGTTATTAGAGAGAAAGAGCCTGCCCCACAGCAAGTTGTTGTCCGAAGAGAGCATCGACATCATGAGCACCGACACGAGCACCGCCACGAGCACCGCCCACGACCTCAGGATGAGGAGTACTATTACCGTCATGAACACTGGGACTCCCGTGGAGATCGTCGATACGCGGTTGAGAAATATGACCGTAGAGGAGGTCGTGACCATGGTCATTACAGCGATGATGAAGATTATTACATGCGACGCAAGGTGGTTCGCCGTCGCGAGAGCAGTGAAGACTCCCACCACAAGCGACATCTGGCAGAAGGTGCTCTTGCTGGTGCTGGTATCACAGCTCTTCTTAACGGCCGCCGCGATAGCTATGGCGAGTTGCCCGAAAACCGTGGTCGCAAGGTCATTGCTGGAGCTGCCCTCGGAGCTCTCGGAACTGAAGCATTGCGCAGAGCGAAGAGTGCTTACGGTGACCGCTGGCACGAGGACGAATCCCCTGATCGTTCTTCGCGTCTCAAGCAGGGTCTTGGAATCGCCGCTGTAGCTCTAGCTGCTGCTGGAGCCGCCAAGTACTACCAATCCAATAAGATTGAGAAGGAGGAGGCGATCCGGGGCAGAAGCCGTGGTCGTCGTGGTTATCACTCTGATGATTACTCGCGCTCTCGTTCGCGCTCCATCATCCGAAGAACCACAACCACGACCAAGAGCACCAGCCGAGGTACTAGCCGCCGTCGCAGTCTGTCGACCGCTGCCAAGGCTGCTTTGGGAACTGTTGCTGCTGCAGGTGTTGCGAAGCATTTGCGCGACAGATCCAGATCCAAGTCTCGAGGTCGCAGCAGCAGTAGGTCAAGCAGCTCGCGCAGTCGCAGCCGATCAAGGTCCCGCAGCAAGTCCAAGCTTCGCCGCGGCGCTGAGATCGCGGGTGCGGCTGTAGCAGCAAAGGCCGCGCACCACGTTTGGAAGAAGCGCAAGGACAAGAAGGAGGACGGCAGTGACTATAGCAGCGATGATGAGTACTACCGACGAGGCCCATCCAGGAGCCGAAGCCGGAGCAGGTCCAAAGCCAGACCCATTCGTTCAGAGCGCGGGACTGATCCTGAGCTAGGCCCCGCAGTTGAATACGGTAACGATCCCCTCGCGCCCGCCGCCTTAACATCGCGAGGCTACGAATCAGAAGCAGAGGCAAGGCGTAGACGATCCAGGCGCGGCCGCAGCCGCTCTGTGTCGTCTAAAGGCTCCGACCGTGAACGTAAACGCAGCAGAAGCCGACTTGGAGCCGCAGCAGCCGCAGGAGCTGCCGCCCTTGGTATCAAGGAATACAAGGAGAGGAAGGACAGGGAAAAGAGAGAGCAGCGCTCGAGGGAACGCCGACTTGAACTAGAAAGGGAACGTGAACGAGAAGATGAGCGAGACCGTCGTGGTCGAGCTACCAGATCTCCTTCCCGAACCCGATCTCGAAGTCGTTCAAGGAAACGTGAGTAGATCTTGCGTGACCAAAATTGTGTTGACTGACCACTTTTGAGCAGGCTATGATGATTATGATGACCGCCGCCCACGCTCACCACCCATGGCATCTGGTGGTGCCGGTTTCCCACCTTATCCTATGGATCCTACTCCCTCACCTGGAGCTCCTTATTCCAACATTCCGGACAAAAATCGTGAATATCAGCCATATGTTCCTCAAGATTATACTGGCTATCCTCCTCCACCTCCTGGACCCCCCCGAGGGCTGTCAACTGGACCTCCGCCGCCAGGACCTCCTGGGCCACCACCTCCACCTGGACCTCCAGGACCTCCACCGGCCGGTGGCCCAAGGCCGCCTGACAATGTGAGTAATCCTGTCCACAACCTAGGCTCAAGAAGCCTAGATGAGGGTGCGTCCGACCGTACTGGAAGGCTTGGTGGATTATTTTATGAAGTTAGTACTGACTCTGGAATAGTACTAGATTCGTCCGATGACGAGCATCCAGCCAAATCGGTGAACTTCGGTCCTCTGTCGCCCAAGAGCTCTATGACAATGAAGCGACATCGTGCTGAAGCAAAGGCCAAAGAGGAAAAGGAGAGACAAGAGCAAGAAGCCCATGATATGCTCCAGGGGCTCGTTATATCTGATAAACCACGCCCGAAGCCGCGTGATGATTGGCAATCCTTGTCAGATGACGAGTCTTATTTTAGCCGGCGTCGACGACATCGAGACGACGATTTCAGCTCTGATGAACCTGTCGAAGTCTTGCCTGATCGATTTGATAAACACGGCAAACCATTAGACAGACGATCTCGCAGTCGCGGATGGACAAGCAGAAGTGGTGAATTTGAACGCAAGCCCAGACATAAAGACGACTGGGATATCAAGGGTGCATGGCAAGTAGGAGGCACAGACAACGAAGCTGTGGAACAAATCGTTCGTGGTGTTACCGGAGCACTTGAAGGCAAAGGTGGATGGCTCGGTATTCTTGGAAATGTTCTTGGTGGACTGCACCAGCCAGAGGAACGAGAGGCTATTACTGATGGACATCATGAAGGACGAAGGCGCCGAAGGAGGCATCGGGATTAATGACGTGATGATTGTGCTTTTGAAACGATTTCCTTGGTTGGATATGAAGTAATGGTTGGATTGCTTGGACTTACGATATGATGTTATGACTATTTATACATTACGGCCTATATAGAGAAACACGGTTGATGTCTGTTTTTAACTTCTTACAGTTTTTCTATGATTGTGGTTTTGTGTATATTTTGTTGTCTGTATGATATGGTCATTTCGGTCTCATTATTGTGCTTTCCTTTCGTTCTTGATCATCTTCAACTTCACGGCCAGTATGATCATGTAGGCCCTGAACTGTCTGTCTGAATGGAGATTTCTTTGTTCCCAGTGTCATGGCTTAGACCCGTACATCATCTAAGCTGCTCATGTAATAGAGATACTCTGTAATAAAGGTATAGCATTAATAATAAATCTTTGGTAGTATTGTTCATCTGTAAATCTCACCTCGCCTATAAGCGATTGGTGTAAACTCAATGAAGTGTAAGTCATCAAGCCGCCCGAGCAGCATCAGAGTCATGCTCGCATACGCAACTATAAGATGAAGCGTTCAGCACACCCCGGCATTTGCCACAAAGTATAAGGTGCTTGTCTGTATGATAGTCTGTGTCTTTGACTGTAATAAGATCTGAGCGAGGGACTTCTACTACATCGTGAGTGGATGGAGTAGTAGCAGAAGAGGTATCATTGCTTGAGGGTGTGTCCGTGCTGGTGTTCAAGGATCTGTCTGGTATGGTTGTTGTAGTAGACATTATGTACGTTGTTTTTGATCTTTTCTTTTTCGTATATGTAAGAAAAGGAGTGACGGGTATTACTATGTATTTTAAGGAGAGAATAGGAAAAAATAGAAAGGAAAGGAAGGAAAGAAACCCAATCATCAGGCCATTAGTTTAATTCTTTATATAGTAGTTATCTTGTTAGTAGAGGCTATGCTTATCTGGTTTTTCTTCAGTAGTCTTCGCATTTCGCAACTATTGGATATAATTGTAGAAGTTTCGGTTCATAACTATTGTTAAAGGGTGATGGGAATGATATATACTAATAGTGTTCTCTTGCCTGTTGTTCTTAGAGGGTTCTGGCAGTTTCGATGTGGGTCTTGAAGCAACAAATCATGGAGTGGACATATTGATATCACAGTGACGAAAATGGTGTTGTGTACTGGGAAGCTTTGTATCATATAGCCAACTTAACCGCATCTAGTATAGTTGAAGCATGCAATTGGTATCCTATCTATACTGTATATATAAGTCAAGGAAAATTATACTCAACTCCGTCATCTTTCAATCATAACTCATCATGAGCAGGCTTCTCTGGCTCTGGTCGTCCGCTATCTTTGTGTAGATCAACGCCGTTCTTGAGACGCCACTTCTCCCAGAGCTCCCAGAATTCACTCTCCATGTTGGTGTCCATCTGGTCGGGCAGAACAACGTTGTATTCGACGTACAGGTTTCCGAACTCGGTCTTGTGGTAGACGCTGTCGCCGTCTTCGTGCCAGATGGGCATACCTTCACCGACTACTGTTTCAATGTGGCCGTGCTGGATGACTTGACCGCGGGGTCGACCCAGACGAACGACGTGCTTGTCGAGATGAGTAAGGTTGCGAGACCATCCACCCATCCAGGCCTCGCGGAGAGAAAGAACTTCGGTCCAGTAAAGATCATCGCCCTTGCGTCGGAAGAATGCACCGTCGACTTTATCGGGGTTGTTTTCATATGAGGGCTCCTTTTCAGATAATGTGACCAGCAAATCACCAGGAACCCAATCAGGGCTCTCATCGGCTTCGTTCTCGTAGACAATGCGGGAGTCACGAGCAGCTCCGCGCGCAATGTTAAGCTGGACAGGAGTGGACTTCTTTTCAACTCGTTCACCGTGGCACACCTTACACTTGTGCTTGATGTTCTTGCCTCGACCACCACAGGCTTCGCATCGTTGCTGGAATTGCTGAAACATACCGGGGGCGAGCTGTCGCTTCATAAGACGAACACCGTGACCGCCGCAGTGCTCGCAAGTATCGACTTGACCATCTGCACTGCCGGTGCCCTCGCATGTTTCACAGATATGTTGCTTGTTCCAGGAGAATTCGGTAGTAGCGCCGTTGTAAAAGTCGCGGAGAGTAATTTCGACACGGACTTCGACATTGTGACCTCGGGGTTCGCTAGATCCTCGTCCAAAGTGACCATGACCACCAAAGAAACGGCTGAAGAGATCGAAAGGATCATGACCACCACCACCTCCACCTCCTTGACGGCGCTGCTGAACACCTTCGTGGCCATGTCTGTCGTAGACCTTGCGCATTTCCTCGTCGCTCAAGACATCGTAGGCTTCGGAGACTTCCACAAACTTATCGTGGGCAGTGTTGTCGCCACTAGGAAAGGTCAGTATGGAGTCGAGTGAACGAGCGATGGAGGGGCATACGGATTCTTGTCTGGGTGGAATTTCTTTGAGAGTTGTCTATATGCTTGTTTCAACTCTTTGTTTGTAGCCTGTCTTTTCACACCAAGGACCTGCGGGTGTTAGTTACGATCAGTTGAACTGCGTCGAAGTGAATTTACCTTGTAGTAGTCCTCGGCGCATACAGCTAGCTGGACCAGAGCTAGAAGGACCAAGAAGGCCGCTGCACGGAATAACATTGTGCGTCTATTGTCGCAAAATGTTAAAGTTGAGAAATGACTATATAAATCAAAGAAATTGAAGCATTGACTTGTAAAGACAGAACTAAAAAGTGTGCTTGGGAGAAAAGAAGGGAAGGAGTTGACTCGACCTCGAGGTTACAAAGAAACTCGCCTTAACCTGCGAAACACCAGCGTGTTATCAATACTTGTCTGCTACACTTTTTAGGAAACAATGGTACGCCTATCGGTGGACCCCTGCATGTGTCATTGTTCTTATCGGGAGGGTTTAATTGGTTTGACTTCCCCGGATTATCCTTTCTCCAATCTGTGCAGGACATCCAGTTAAGCTTGCCTGTCGCATCTAAGCTTTCTTTTGCTTGGGGCTGCCTATTTGCCTTCCTTCCCATTTCTTTCTTCCCACTCTGGGTTCATTTCTTTCTCCAGAAGCTCGCTCTTTACCAAAATGAGCAAAAAGTACGCTTTCCTTCCCATGGAGGAGGATGAGGTGGGCCCTCAGAAAGTTACCAAGGAGAAGAAGTCCAGACATAGACATCGCGACCGAGACCGTGACGACAAATCATCTTCCCGACACTCAAAATCCCGCCGCGATCGCAGTCGCTCCCGCTCCAAATCTCCAGGTCGAACATCTTCATCACGTCATAGCCGACCCAAGCAATACCGACGACGCGACGACAAGAGCGACTTCGATGATCGATGGGGCGACGAGGAGCCGCCTTCCGACGAGCCTGAGGAAGAAGAGGACGAGCACGAGTTCGAAGAGTCAGCACGCAAACGAGTGAAAATGAACCACGATGAACCAAAAGATGAAGACCTATCCGATGGCGCGAAAGAGGAAGCAGAGCGCAGAAAAGATATCGAAGAGCGCGAGGCTTTCGCAAAGCGCTTAAGAGAAAAGGACAGCAGAAAATCGAAGAGCGACGATAGAGATGGAGTCTCCTCATCGAGGAGGAAGCTCGCTGAAGATGCCGAGGCGCGAAACCAAGCGCTACCCGACATTCGAGAACGATCGCGACAGGAATATCTCAAGAAACGAGAAACCGAACGTCTGGCCCTTCTTAGGAAACAGGTCGCCGAGGAAACCGCTGAGCTTAATAGTGGCGTGAAATTGACCAGGGACGAGAAGGCAGAATTTGCTAAGAATAGAGAGGTTTTGCGACTGGCCGAGGAACGACTTAGGGTTGATGATCACAGAGATGGATACTACATGCCAGAGGATTACATCACCGAGAAGGGTAAACTCGACCGAAAGAAAAAGGAAGATGCACTCTACAAGCGATATGTCGAGAAAGACGAGTTTGGACAGGAGAAATTCGTCACCGAGCACGAGGAATGGGAACGGGAGCAAGCTTCAAAAGCCAAGGCGCAGATTCAGCGCGGTGAATTGGAGAACGAGGGCTACGACTATGTCATGGACGATCAGTATATCCAGTGGAATCTGGACTCACGGTTACCCGGCGATGATCAAAAGTTGACCAAAGAACAACAATTCCTTAACGCGCAGATTGATGCGGCCGAGAAGAAGGCCCTGTCAATCCAGGAAACGAGAAAGAGTCTACCGATTTACCAATACCGAGATGAGTTCCTTGCCGCGTTGGAAAAGTTTCAGGTCCTTGTTATTGTCGGAGAGACTGGTAGTGGAAAGACTACCCAGCTACCGCAATATCTCCACGAGGCTGGTTACACCAAGAACGGCATGAAAGTCGGATGTACCCAACCTCGACGTGTCGCAGCCATGAGTGTAGCAGCTCGTGTGGCTGAGGAAGTGGGCGTCAAGGTCGGCAATGAAGTCGGATACACTATTCGTTTCGAGGACTGTACTAGCGACAAGACTATCCTGAAGTACATGACTGACGGAATGTTGCTTCGAGAATTCATGACTGAACCAGATCTGGCAGGATATTCAGCACTGATGATCGACGAAGCCCACGAACGTACCGTCCATACTGATATCCTGTTGGCTTTGATCAAGGATCTTTCTCGAGAACGACCTGATTTGAAGCTATTGATTTCATCAGCTACCATGAACGCTGAGAAGTTTGCCCAATACTTTGACGACGCGCCTATTTTCAACATTCCCGGTCGACGATATCCTGTCGATATTTACTACACTCCTGCTCCTGAGGCGAATTACTTGGCTGCAGCTATCACGACGGTTTTCCAGATTCATACCACCCAGCCCAAGGGTGATATTCTGATCTTCTTGACGGGTCAAGATGAGATTGAAGCAGCCGAGCTCGAAATTGCAGAAACAGCAAAGAAGCTTGGCAATCGTGTCAAGGAATTGGTCGTTTGTCCTATTTACGCCAATTTGCCGTCCGAGTTGCAGTCCAAGATTTTCGAGCCTACACCGGAAGGTGCTCGCAAGGTCGTATTGGCCACCAACATTGCCGAAACCAGTTTGACAATTGATGGCATTGTTTATGTTATCGACCCAGGCTATGTCAAGGAGAACGTCTACAACCCTGCGACAGGCATGTCGAACTTGGTTGTTGTTCCTTGTTCAAGAGCCTCTGCCAACCAGCGAAGTGGCCGTGCCGGTCGTGTCGGACCTGGAAAGTGTTTCCGGCTGTACACCAAGTTTGCGTACATGAACGAAATGGACGAGTCGACTACACCAGAGATCCAAAGAACAAACTTGAACGGTGTTGTGCTTCAATTGAAGTCTCTTGGTATCAATGAACTGCTCGACTTCGAGTTCATGGATCCTCCACCCACAGAAGCTCTTATCGGCGCACTGAATCAATTGTTTGCTCTGCAAGCGTTGAACCATCGTGGAGAATTGACCAAGCTCGGTCGACAAATGGGTGAATTCCCCACAGATCCTATGCTTGCGAAGGCCGTCCTTGCTGCAGACAAGGAAGGATGTGTTGAAGAGGTTCTATCTATTGTATCCATGCTTGGTGAAGCCTCTGCTCTCTTCTTCCGACCCAAGGACAAGAAGATTCACGCAGACAGCGCCCGAAACCGATTTACCGTCAAGGACGGTGGTGATCATTGCACCCTTCTTAATGTGTGGAATCAATGGGTCGACAGTGACTTCTCCCCTGTCTGGGCGAAGGAGAACTTCTTACAGCAACGTTCTCTCACCCGCGCCCGCGACGTCCGCGACCAACTCGCAAAACTCTGCGAACGTGTCGAAGTCGCACCCTCCACATGCGGCGCTACCAACCTACGTCCCATCAAGCGCGCCATCACAGCAGGTTTTTTCCCCAACGCGGCACGACTGATGAAGAGTGGCGACAGCTACAGAACTGTCAAGAACAACACGACAGTGTGGATCCACCCCAGCAGTGTGCTGATGGCTATCGATCCGCCGGAGAAAATGGTGGTTTACTTTGAGCTTGTTCAAACGACGAAGGAGTATATGCGTAGTGTTATGCCGATTGAACCAAGGTGGTTGTCAGAGTTGGCACCGCATTTCCATAAAAAGAAGGATGTCGAGGAGATGGAGGAGAAGAAAATGCCTAAACAGAGAAACTAATGATATAGACTAACGCTTGAATATTTAATACAACAAGTTACATACAAACTTATTCCCACCATGGTGCCTTTGTCTCTGGTTTTTCTTCCGCATCTTTATCAGGGATCCATTCGTACAGAATATCTGTTCTCATGGTGTACTTGATTCCCTTTTTCACTAATGCTCCTTCATGGAAGAGTCCCTTGTGTTGGAAGATGAGAACGCTGCCGGCTTTGGGGTTTACATCGACCCTTTTCTCGCCTTTTCTGTCGAGGAAGGATGTTGCGCCGCCTTGAAGGTCTGATGTAGGATCGTTCTCGACGGAGTCGTTGAGATAGAGATGGAGAGTGTAGAATGTCTCGAATTCCTTTCCTGGACCTTCGGTGTAGTAATAAGCACCATCGCAGTGCGCTATGATATATCAGCAACGCAAGTTTTGCAGGCAGGTGAGTGTTACTCACGCTTGAAGAACTGTCCAGGCGAATACTTTAGGAATCGCATCCTATCGTTCAACCGGCTAAACACCCATTTCCCACCTTTCATCCAAGTTTCATGTGGAGCGACAGCCAAAAGATCTCTTAACCCATCTGCTTCGAGACATCGTTCCCAAAGCCGATCGACAATGGTTTGTTGATCCCAGATTATACGATCACTCTCACGATAACCCGGCGCACGAGCCTCGTAGCCATTTCCACCACTTACCAAAGCGGGTTGCCACGCTTCATCGCCCTCCACGGACTGTTCAGCTAGGGAAAGAAGTTCTTTGCATTCCTCGGGTGAGAGAACGTTGTCTAGAACGATAGCGGTGTGCCCGTCATATTGCGGAAGAGGAGAGTTTGCAAAGTCGATGTGAGTACTTGTAATCGGCGTTGTAGAAGGGGAGGACAGAAACGAATCTGGAATGGGTATGTCTTTTGATGTATATGTTACTTTCTGAGGAGCTGGATATTTGGAAGTTTTGGGAGGCATGATGTTGAAGGAAGGTTTGGCGAGACCAAGTTTTGAAGTGATGTTGGAGAACATTTTATAAGCAAAAAGTATCGCGATTCAGAATAAAAACAAACAAGGTAATCTGTTTCAAAGATTCGAATTCTGATGCCTGATATTAAGATTATATACGAAATAATGGAGATCTATGGATTATTAGGACAGATATTGGTTCTTTCAGTCTTGTTGTTGCTGCCTTGGAGGTGGATGGTGGCTATGTGGAGAATGAGCCACCACAAGTCCTACGCCTAGGCTTTATGGTGAGCGCAAGGTAAATTACAGTAGTGACATTACCCATACTAGTTGACTCATTCAGTTCATTGGTTTTATGGACAGTTTGGCCTGAGTTGGTAATTTGGATGCCTTGAGGATTTGGTGGGACTTTTATGCTGTAACCTGCAATGGGTATCAGAAGAATTGGTCGACAGGAATGAGAGACAAAATAACCTTCACTTTACGCAAGTTTAGAGTATTATTTCGGCTATCCTCTAAGAAGCATGAACAGAACATGTCTTGGTTTTATCAGCTAATACCGTGTAAAAGAAAAACCGCCGTACTGCAATGCGGCTGAACAAGCAGTGAGTGTCTGGCTTCAAGCGTAAAGAATGTGAGGCGAACTGCAATCCAGAGCTGAAAATGACAGTCTTTTCAAACACCAAGAATGCCTTGAGAATAAGAACTAAGTATTGCAATCCGATTGATGAGAATATGTCGAGCTTACTCACTTATGCGATGATTGAAAGCATAATGCCCATATCCCGTGATGGTCTTCTGGTGAGGTCCTTCAGGAAGTTTTGAGGCTGATGAGTCCTAGCCACCTGACTGAGAACCAATATGAGGAGACAAATAGAAGAGTACCACATCTTCTTTAAGGCTGTATTATTAATGAAGAAGGTTGTTTGGCTTGGGGAACTGTATTTGGCTTTTTAAGGTTCACAGGTGACTGGCTCTGTATGTATTGCTTGGATAGTTGCTCTGAGAGTTCCAAACAAACGCATGTAAGTCGAATGGAGATGCACAATGGAAACCTTCAACATCCGCCACGAAGTGTTACAGAAACTCAATAAATTGCATCGAAAAGGACAAATGTCATATTTTAGCATTTAACAAAGACCATCATCTTTGTGAGTAGCCACAGGCTCCTTCTTCCCTCGTCTCAACCCCAAGAAATGATTCTCAGCACCACGCTCTTCACGACAGTTTCTACACTCATGATCCTACAAGTATTAAGCGGCTTGAGAAAGCGCCGAGTTCTGAAAAGATATCGAAGCAGCCATTCATCCAGCGCCATGAACTTCCTCCAAATGTCAAACACGGTCGCTCTCGACTACGCCCGAAACATCCTCTTCAAAAAAGTCGACAAAATCACCGTCGGAGCAGCAATCCTGCACAAGAGCAAACGAAGCATTCTAATGCTCAAGCGCGCCGCACACGAGACTTACTATCCCAATGTGTTCGAACTACCAGGCGGTAAAATCGACGGTGCGGAAAAGATACATGACGCTATTGTCCGAGAAGTCAAAGAGGAGACGGGTCTTACTGTTACGAAAGTCATCGCTTCGTCGGAGCCTTTTACTTATTTTACGGAAAAGACTGTTGATGAGAAGATTATATTGAGGACTACTTTGCAGTTGAGCTATGTGGTGGAAGTGAAGGAGGATGGGGATGGTTTTGTTGTTGATTTGGAGGAGCATTCCGAGGGAAGATGGGTTGAGGCTGATGAAGCTGATGGGGTAGTCATGGCGGGGGAGATGAAGAATCTTGTTTTGCAGGCTTTGCAAATGGAATAATGAAGGAGAGACTTTGAGGGAAGGACTATTTCAACAATGGAGTTATCTGAAGCTATACAAAGATGCTGTCAATAACACACGTAGGTGGGTTCTGGAGTGGCAAATATGAGATCTCTCCATGCAGTTTTAACCCTCCTCTGGAGATCCAACATTGTGTAGTTGGCTTCAAGAATCAACAAAAAGACCAAAAGAGAAAAGAATTGAACAAAAACATCGCAATTTTCACTGCAATTTTAACCCCCCTCGGGAAGTCCAACAGTTTCGAAAGAGTCGGCTCAAATAGTTATACAGCCAAATTTTGCACTGCAATTTAACCCCCGAAGAGGTTTAACGCCATGAAAAAGTCAGCCTGCATATGCATTTTGCCCAGTGTCATGTTCTTCACTGCAATTTTAGCCCTTCCTCGGAAGGCTTAATACCAGAAAAGACTCAGCCCTGTGATGGATGTTTGCACTGCAATTTTAACCCCGTCGGAGGGTTCATCACCATACAAATACCACTAAGTTGGACCTCGATGGAGTGTAGACTCTTGGCGCAAGCTTCTCGAAGAAAATGATAAGGCGATAAGCAAAGTCGTTGAAGAACCAAGAGCTTGGCAAGGCCTGGTTAAATGCCGACTTGGCGACACTAGACTCGGCCGGCAGAAGTGGGTAGTATTGGATGTCACGATAGCTCAATATTTGTAAGCCAACTCAACATCATACAATAGTCGATAGTAGTCGTTGATCTCGTCTTGATCTAATGAGTTTAGGTGTTACTCGACGACTGCTAGGTTGAGAGGCCAAGAGATAGACGCCATGCCGATTTAAGATCCTTCAAGCTTAGAAATCTCTGATGAGGCAAAGATTACCTTACGACATAGATCGGGGAGGTAACCAAATCTGTATAAAAACCGTCGACAAACCGGGTCCGAGAGGAACGGAGTGGCCAGTTTAAGTGGGTTTGTCGCTATAAAATCTGCACACTCTATATCCTTATATCCGCTGTCTCTCACTTACAGCTTCACAAGAGTAGTCAACCTGATGATGAATGAATGAATGAGCATAGTTGTAATACATATAGTATAGTAAATAAGCTGAATTGATTATCATCCTCTTCAATGACTGCAGGATCTGATGCGACGTTACATACTTTCCAAATTTAGCGGATCCTTTCGAGGTTGAGACTAGCGACCTTCCCTAGCGGGCAACCAGTTTGTTTGTGTCATGTCACTTCCAGATCTCACTGACATGGGCAAGAATACCACCCTCAATAACAAATACGTAACAAATCTTGCAAGTGGATTTGCCTCTGAGCACGCAATATCTCGTGCCTCATTAGCGGATCTATATCAACAGACTTCAAGATCAATATGTAAGCTCTTGTTCCTCTATTCACTCGATCTCTTCAACTATTCATTGCGACCACTTCAACAATGGCGTACACTTCAGAAAAAGACACTCCAGACAATGATGTCGAGGGTTTTCCTCAAAGACAAGACAGCGATGCCCCACGAGGTCCTACCCAGTCCGACCTACTGGCTCGTACCCTCTCGGCGCGCCAGGTGCAAATGATTGCCATTGGCGGCACAATTGGCACAGGATTATTTCTGGGGACGGGAAAGTCTCTTGCTACTGGTGGTCCAGCATCCATTCTAATTGCGTATGCTATTGTGGGTGGGATTGTTTTTACCACTATGTTGGCTTTGGGAGAGATGGCGGCGTTTATTCCCGTTGCGGGAAGTTTTTGTACTTTTGCAGGGTAAGTCAAACACTCATTCTGGTGAATCTTTGACTAATTTGGATAGACGTTTTGTGGATGATGCTTTTGGATTCGCTCTTACTTGGAATTACTGGTTTAATGATGCTGTTTCTACAGCCGCGGATCTGGTTGCTTTACAGATCATTCTTCAATACTGGACCGACAACTTTCCCGGCTGGGCCCTGAGTCTTATTTTCTGGGTTGTTCTCATCGGAATCAACTTGATCTCTGTTAGAGCGTACGGAGAAGTTGAGTATTGGCTCAGTCTGCTCAAGATTATCACAATTGTGGTTTTTATTGTCATGGGCATCGTTGTCAATTGCGGTGGTAACGAGACTGGAGAGTATATCGGTGGAAAGAATTGGCATTTGCCTGATGCACCTTTCGTAGGTGGTATCGGTGGATTTGCCTCTGTTTTTGTGACAGCTTCATTTGCTTGTAAGTCAGTTCAATCTCACCAAGACACAGCTACTAACAATTTCAGATGGTGGAACTGAGAGTATCGCCATCACCGCCGGTGAAACCAAGGATCCCACCAAAAACCTCCCTAAAGTCGTCAAAAACGTCTTCTGGCGAATCATCCTCTTCTACATCCTCTCCATTCTGCTGATCGGTCTCAACGTCCCATACAACTACCCCGATCTCGACTCCAAGGAAACCCGTACTTCGCCCTTCACCATCGTCTTCGAAATGACGGGCGCCAAAGCTGCAGGCAGTGTCATCAACGCTGTTATTCTTACTAGTGTGCTCTCTGCTGGAAACCATGCTCTTTTTGCGGGTGTCAGACTGATGTACACTCTTGCGCTTGAGGGGCATGCGCCTAAGGTTCTTGGAAAATTGAACAGGAACCGAGTTCCTTGGGTTGCTGTTCTTGTTACTGGATTTGTTGCTGGTCTTTGCTTCGGGTCTAGTTTTATTGGAGCTGGACAGCTGTGGTCTTGGTTGCAAAAGTAAGTCTCCTCACACTCTAGAATAGGACAGGTTACTGACAGTTATAGTATCGTCGGTGTATCAAACCAACTGAGCTGGATCTCCATCGGTATCACCTCAATCCGCTTCCGCCAAGCCCTCGAAGTCCAAGGCAAGACACACCTGCTACCCTTCAAAAACTGGACATATCCCTACGGACCCTGGATCTGCGTCTTCCTCAACAGCTTCTTGGTTCTCGTCCAAGGCTGGAGCTGTTTCAGCCCTACATTCGACGGTGTCAGTTTCGTCAGCTTCTACATTGAGCTGCCCGTCATGCTCATCATGTTTGTGGTCTGGAAGCTTGTTAAGAAGACCAAGATCGTGAAACTGAGTGAGATGGATCTTGAGACGGATGTTCATACTGTTGAGGAGAAGGTCGTTGAGGAGACGGGGTGGAAGAGTAAGGCTAAGAATATTGTTACGTGGCTGTTTTAGGGGGCTTGTTGAGTTGGATAGCGATGATACCATGGTATATAATGATTTACTGTTTATATGATATTACCTTAATACTCTAAGAGTCTTGTGAGTGAGTTTGATCAGAGCAATGAAACTCATGCGAATGACTGGCTTCCCAGCGTAAATATGATGGGGAAATGTCTTGTATTAACAAAAGCTTAGTCAAATGGTGAGACCTAGTCTCGATAAGAAGTAAAGATATAAACCAGACAGATCACTCCCCATTCCCGTACTCAGCATACTCCTCCGGCACCTCAGGCCACTGATCAACACCATCCTGAATAACCATCATCATGCCGCCAACCATATGATTATTAATATGACAATGCAACAGCCAAGGTCCAGCATCAGCAGCATGATATCTCACCACAGCCCAACTAGGCTCCATCTCCGCAGGCGTCGACAGGAACGCATCTCTCATAGGCGGATTAACCAGATTAAACTGGTCAGGAATCTCCTTGATTGCTTCTTCCACGGAATTCCATCTGAATAATCCTGTTCCTGCACCGAGAAAGTACATTTTTGAGCCGTGCTTGTGGATTGGGTGGGGAGGTTGGGGGAAGAGGGTTGCCACGAACACCAAGTCTACCCATTGGTTCAACTGTGTTGAGATGGTGACGTTGTTTTGGATGTAGGGTTGTGGGTTGAAGAGTGTTGGGCGTTGTTCGTCTAGTTGGTCGGACATGAGCTTTGATTCGTTTAGGGCCCAGAGATATGAAGCGCCCTTGATGGCCATGCTGAGGTTGAAGGTTACGTCTGCGACGGGAGCGGGTGGGCTTGGGGGATAAGGGCCTGCGATGAGTTGGTTGAAAACGACGACTTCCTTTGAAGCAGGAAGACCGACGAGGCTGATATACGGCTCAACTTCCTCATAAGCGCTGTATCCCTCCACGGAGAGTATCGCATGACCCGTGATGAGCTGCGGCGCACTGTTCGAGTTGAATCTCATCTTATACTCTCCAGTAGTCTTGATCTTGATAAGAATAGAGTATCGATCTCCGTTAGTGACAGGAATAGCCTGTACTTTCTGCGGTTCAATGTATGAGCCGTCCATGGCATAAACCCACATATCATGTCCATCAATAGAGAAGACTCCACTGACAAAATTAACTGCACCGATGATGTCGAAGGCTGCCCACGATTCCCATTGGCCGTAGTAGTTTGAGATTTTGATCTTTTCGATTTGGCCGTCTGTTTCTTTGCAGCCGGAGAATGTACCTGGGAGGAGGGCTGATTCGTTGCCCAGACCTCCTGCGATGGCATTGAGGGCAGAAGCAGGGAGACAGCTAGTAATGATTAGTTATATATCATGAATTTTGGGCGTTGGAGTACTCACGACTTATCAGTAAACTCAGCACCACCAGGGACCATGGCAAGATACGCCTTCTGAATCTCATTCAAATTCTCCGCCACAACATCCTTATCCAAACACTCCACTCTTCCCTTTCCATTAAAAAGGATAGAATCATAGCATGAATCCTCAATGCCAGCCGCAACAGTCATATCCCACTTCTCAGCAGAAGTAAGATGGACAAAGTCCGAAATAACAACCGGCTTGACGTCCTTCACAGCTTTTGCAATAGCGTGTGTATCTTCTGAGATCATGTGGAAAGGATTGGGTTCATCTTCTCGAGGATGAATGATTATTGCACCGTAGAGACCGTCTTCGATTTGGCCCCGGAAGTGAGAGTGGTACCAGAAACTTCCGTATTGTGTCGCTGTGAATTTGTATGTGAAGGAGTGGCCTGGTTTGATGGGGTGTTGGGTTACGCCTGGGACGCCGTCTGACCAGGGTGTGCCTTTCATTTCGAGACCTATACTCTTATTAGACACAGAGCTATGCTATATGGACAAGAGAGTGCTACCATGGTAGTGAATTGTGAGTTCATTGGGTGATTCATTGTGCACTTTCACAACAACTTTATCATCCTGATCGATTTCAAGAACAGGACCAGGAGATTGGCCGTTGACGAGCAGCATCTTTCGTGAGAAGCCATCTGGGGCATAGTCTTGCCATGTTATCTTTAGGTCGAATTTCTTGGTGTTTGTAGCTGATACTACGAGGGCTTGAATAAGAAGGGGAATGAAGAGTAGAGAGAACATCTTGGCTGCGACGAGGGGGACTCCTCGATTGATTGGACAATCTCCTTGAGGCAAAGACGCTTTATCAAGTGGCTGCGCCGTCCTGTATATAAATCACTTGGAAACTGTTCTTGTTGCTTTCTCCGCAGTCTTAAATTCTTTCACGAGCATCGCTTACATGCCAGCATCACCACGCCGCATAGCTACTTTGCAACTACTGTCGCTGTCCATACTAATTTTGGCCCAACAAGCCAATGGTACATCTCAGAGACACCGCAACTTTCGTCCCATCGCTAAGATAGGTGTATCTAATCTCATCTCGAGGTCAAAGCAAGACGAGTCTTGGTTTTCGCTAACAGAGTCAGCACTAGACTAGGCCTTATATTGGGGGCTGAGTAAAGATGTTGGCAGCGAATGATTGGATGTTCATTCCTTGGCTGAGGTCAGATTAATTGGGACGAATCTATTCTTTAAGCATAACTGCACCTTGTCGGTCTGCCTATACTCAATTCACTGCTATTGTTAACGAACCGAGGTACGGCGATATCTAGATCGAGACTCATAGCCGTAACTTTGCCAAAATCCTACAAACAACCTGTTTATCAGAATAAAACGCCCTGTTGATATGTGGTAGGGCTGACATGCCTGCTTATACACTTATTCTTGGCGGTCAGCTTGTTGTCAGATTCTCGGCCGAGCGCTTGGTTACCACCGTTTTCGTATCGTGCGCCGATTGGACGGAATGCGGATAAGTGGCCTAGATAGGAATTGTACACACCCCAAATTCTGCGCTGTTGGTATTACGTCGGTGACTTTGGATGACGGGTCGGGATATGTTTTCCCGAGTTGAATGAGGGACTGTTTTGCAGTGTTGTGACGATGTCTGTTGTGCTTCTCTTGTTTTGGAGTTGGGCGAGTTGAGTCTGGATCGCCAGGGGACCGTTTGCCGCATTCGGTGGATGTTTGTTTGTTCTGCTATTCTATTCTTGTAGCAGTTGAGCATTGAGCGGGTTAGGCTTAGTATGCCTTGACTCTACCGTCGGATTACCTGTAATCTCACAGGTCCAACTCAGGAGTGTCTTGATAGTAGAGTCGGGTCAGCCCAGCGAGACGCTCAGTTCGTCCCGACATGCCAGTTATAAGTTTATAAGCATTCTCAAATTTTATCGACGAAAAGCTGACATGAGCATGCATCTGAGTTCAAGGACTATAATCTTAGTACATGCATCAAAGAGTTGAGTTGGTCAGAAACGGTGATTGTAGCACCTGGTAGGTTCTCTATGGGCCTCGCGGGCGTATGGCACCAGGCCTCAATGTTGAGCCATTGCTCTAGATGAAGAGACATGGCTCAGTCAGCAACTTGATGACTTGCAGTTACCTCCATGGCCTTTACAGTAAGAAAGGGCTATGGAAGCAACTCTACTTAAAGTGGTTGAGCCTCCTAGATACTCAAATTCTGCATCTTCCTCCCACTGCCGCTGGACGAGTAGCGTCGACCATGCCTTCTGATCTTGGGACGTCCTCGAGATTGATAACTTCATGATCCCAAGGCTGTACTGTGAGTACCATATATGAGCTTAGGGTTCCAGAAATGATCTTGATGGGTTTCTTTTGTCCAAACACTTGAGAGCTTGGTTTGTTCTCTTTTCAAGATACCGCAATCCGCCTCTCATGGCTCTCTTCCGTCTGGCATGATCCTAAGCACATCCAATCGGCCATGAAAAACCTGAACGCTTCTCTACTTAAACGGTAGTGTGATACTTATTGACTAGAGCAGCGTTATGTGTGGATGTTCCGTTTTAGTCGTCCAGCGACGCCTCTTCTGAAGGTACGTCTTCCATCTTATCTTATCTCGATGATCAGGAACAGATCAGTCCAGGAGATAGGCAGCAGTGTGCTACCGCTCCACACATCCAGTTTGAAATGGGCTGAAGATCATTGGTCGATACTTTTTCTGTGAACATAACGGTTAGTGTTCTCGAACAGTATCATCGTCTTCGGAGGCCGAGATAGTCTGTCGATTGACTGCTGTTTTCGACGAACACCCATCGTTTAACAAGAGCCATGCAGTTATTCTTCTACAATTGCTCATGATCTCTACCTTGGTATCAGATCATCGTTCAAAATCTCCATTTCCTAAATAGGAAAGTAAGCAAACCAAGCTACGGACATTTCCCCACTCAGGGTCCAGCCAGCCTCATAACACCTTCAGCTCAATCGAGGCCGTATCATAACAGTTTATTCATTCATAATATTTAAAACATTCTTCTTTATGATGATCCTTTTCCAATATATTTATGCCCAATAGGATCATAAACCATGCATTCCAGGGATTCTCGCACATTGGCAATCGGATAGATTGCGGACTTGAATAAAGTCCGAGTCGGAGAGCGCCACAAGTGAGACTTCACGTTGAAGAGGGGAAATCTCGAGTTGCACCGTGAATGCACGATGTAAGCAATAGATATATAAGATATTGCTCATCCCATTCAACTTCATCTCATCTCAACTCAACTCATATTCCTCTCACCAATTCATCAACTCATCACCCTATCTATATACATCACTATCATCACCACCACAATGGGCCTCTCTCACTTTGCACTCCCCTGCGGTGAACACTACACCGAGATGCGCGACTTCTACAAAGCAATCCTCGCACCCCTAGGCTACGAGTTCAAATTCGAAGCTCAAGGTCCCAGCGGCGCATACTACTGCGCTTTCGGTGAAGCAAACAAAGGACCGGACTTTTGGCTTGGCGGTGGTGGTGAGGCATCCCTCAAGAAGTATGATGGAAAGATGGAAAACAGAACTTGTCCTGTGCATTTTGCTTTTGATGCGAGGGATCAGAAGCATGTTGATGAGTGGCATGAAGTTGCTATGTAAGTATTCTTTGGGTGGTGAGAGATTGGTGCTAATCTTGTATAGGAAGTATGGGGCTGTTGATAATGGAAAGCCGGGATTGAGAGAGTATAGGCCTGGGTATTATGCTGCTTTTGTTCTTGATCCTGTTGGTAACAATGTTGAGGTTCTTCATTTGGGTTAGAAGAGTTCAGTAAGGCGAGGCGTTGAGGCGAGAGTAGTTGAAGACGTGAATGAGACATTATCATCATGTATTTTGTGTTAACAAATTCTTGACCAATAACTGTTAGACTGCTATATACCAAAACAATCGCCTTGAGAAATGAGGTGGTACCACCGCTTTTGGTGGTTCAACTATGAAAGTAATAGTTAATTATTCAAGAGGTAGCGATAAGTAAAGGCAAGCCTTCTGGTACAATTCACTTCCACGCTAACTCCCACCCAAAAATCTCAGGTCTATGCTCACTTCCCTCAAGCGCATTCATAATCGAGATTTTCAAGTCCCTCCACGGCTCATAATCCAGATCAGCACTGAGTGGTCCAAAGTATTCCACTTTGACATCTCCTGGTAAAGGGCTCAGCACTTGCTTGCCGACTGGCCGCCTGGGCAGAAAAGGAGAGATATGATTCAGCGTCTTGAGATTCGGCATGCAAGTATAGAGATCCTTTACAACTTTTCTCCAGTATTCTTCCTTTGAAACAGTCCTGTTGTCTACTCCCTGAAGATATAAAGTCTCAAAACCAAGGTGGAGGACTCTATCCAAGCCCGGTATGCCGATAGGGATGTTACTTTGCAGGAGACAAAGATTTCCGTGACAAAAGTAGAGAATGCCGGTTTCTGGGATAAAAAAGAGAGTTTTGTTGGAGGTATCTTCAGAGAAGAAGAACCCTTTACGGAGGGCAGCTGCACGGGAATCATAACAGATTTGAAGGGTTATTGGAAGGGGGTTGACATTTCCAGGACCCAGGAGGATGCAGATGTGTTTATTAATTGATATGTCGACGTTGAAGGCGCGAGGGCCAGGGAGCGTGAATGTCCAGATTTGGTCTTGTATCTCTTGTGGAAGAGAGGAAAATTTCGTAAACATCGTTTTGTACAGGCAAAGATCCTATGCTAACCAGCGATAGTATAGGCTTGTGTGGTGGTGTGGGTGTAGGAAGAAGGAAGGGGGGGGGGAGGGCTACTGTGCA